GTGATTCTATATTATTCCAATCACCTCCATTGATTCCCTTATGGTCGCATGTATTTATTAACTTATAAGAATATTAAAATGGAATAAATAACATCTATTAAAACAATTGCCACCTTGATCAAGCCTGCAGGTTTAAAAAAGTAATCTTATTAATAGTTAATTAATGGTAAAATAAAAAAGCTGTGCAATTTTTTAGGTATTTTCCTTTATTTTTTGTTTGAATCTAGTTTATTAGGCTAGTGAGTTTATATATGTACTTATTACATCAAGGTTTAGTGAATCAAGCTTGGAAGTTACAGAGCTAAGGTGATACTTACTAGCATGTTGAGTATCTTAACCCCTGAATGTCACATCTTAACTGTTCTCGTCATGGCAACCTGTGCGAATAGTTTTATAGTAATATCGTTTGCCTCATTATATATTTGTGACAGTGCAAATGCTTAATCCAAACTTGCTGCTTTGATGAGCATTTTATGGCTCAAAGCCAAACAGAAACACAGAATAATGAGTTCTTTAATTAAAAGAAAAAGGAATAAAGTTATTTGGACAGTACTTCATACTTCAGCTGTGTTTAGAATCTGCATCAACTCCGAAACTCCCCACACCAGGGCTTTAAGAACACAATGTTATTTTGTCCTTGGAAAAAAAGAGCAGGTTTCTCTGATCTTAAAGTTTGTATTTGTCGATAAGCAATCATTGTTTATGAAGACTAATGGTTAAAGTACAGTAGATTTAATTTTTTACAATTTAGATGTCAAATAAATATAAATAGCGTAACAGAGGATTTCAACAAAAAATAAAATATTAACGGTGATCTTAGTCATTACTGTACAGACTAGAAGGACCAAACATTTCCGTTAATTTTAATGTTGGGCTCTTGTTGTTTATGACTTGTGAGCTGTGCTTATGTTTTGTACCTGCTTACAATCAATAAATCATCAATTAAATGTTGTCTGTTGTGACAGGTAAAAGTCAATGTAAAAGAGAATAGTTATGGTGTCATTAAAGTAGATTTGTTTTGTAAGAAACATTTTAATAAGTCTTTGAATCAAAAAGGAATAATTTGTAAATCCACTAATGTCACTGGAATGGACCAAAACTAGAAGGCTGTAGAACTTGGACTTGGAAAAAACTATCCTGGCCAAATAATGACCAGACATAGACTTGGATTTGTAAGTGCTTTCATTTAGATGTATGAAATGAATTACCCCTGAGCAATACGTTGCAGAACACTATGATGGTACAGTAAGAGCAGTCTGATGATGCAGCTTAAAGGCATTCAAGCATAGACTGAAGATCCACAAGACATAATAAATGTGCTCTGCAATGTAAAACTTGAAGCAAACTGTGATATACTTTAAACATAAGTTGTCCTTAGAACTTTAAGTCATGCAAACTTATTAATATTTCTCATCAATGTTTTTGTAATATTGCTCCAAGTATATCACAAGCAAGCACAGCTGTCATTAAGATCTATTAACATCCAATATCAAATATAAATTAAGAGCTCTGAAACGTGCACAAACAGAGCAGATATTCCAACTTAAACGAAAGGGAAGTTACTTTCAAATTTTCCCGTGTTCATATGCAAAACATGTTTAGCCTTATGTTGTAATTAATGTATCATATAATTTTGTTTAAAACTTAAGCTGCAATTGGTTTTCTTATACCTGCTTTAGTGTGCTGAAATGATGGTGAAAGTACAGACTGTAGCACAGATGGATGCATAGTGAACTTACTTGACATGGAGGAGACAGCAGCTGCAGCATCTTTGCGTTCACCCTTTTTAGCAATTCCTTGCTAATATTGTTGTTTTGTCCTTCCTGCTTCCAGTAAACCTTCCTTTTTACTTGCATAAATTATTCAAAGTGATTTCTGATCATATTGTTCATAAAGACACTCAAATCTCACACGTAATTTGATTCAATAAAAATTTTAAATTATCATCTGGAGCTTATTCTATCTTTTTTTTTTTACTTTTTTTTTA